TTGAGATTCAACTTTTGATTTCTGCTCTCTAGTTAGTATAGACACATGGACCAGGTCAGTTGCTTGTCATCTTAAATTTGTTGGCTTTGTCAGTATCTTTGAACCGACTTGATTGACCTGGTTTGTACAAGGTGACATAACATTTTTGTTCTAGAATTGGCGAGTGGTCAGGTTGATCCATTGCTACCTGAACTAGGAGCAGGGCCAAGCTCATCATCTTCCCTGTCTGTGGAGGAACTGGAAGCAAATTTGGGTGTTGGTGAGCTGTCCCGTCAGTCATCTCACACCTCCCTGTCTGATCCGTTATCACCCTCCATACATGACTTCTCTGATGAAGAGTCTGATATTTCCAGTGACCTGGAAGTGAACTAGCCATTCATTGAAATTAAGACCATGGTTGAAGAAGAAAGTGAAATCATCATTAGAAGGTTAAGGAGCTTAACTGAGCACCAAATTGTCAGTTTGATCTATTCTTCCTGAAGAACAGGAAAGCTTGCAGGAGGCTGTAGGAGAAGGTTTCACATTACATTTGCTATAATGCTTTAGCATTGAATGATGAACTTCCTCAGCAGATAGGTTGAATGTAAGTACAGAAAGAGAAAGTTTGGGAGGTGCTTGTTCACTCAGCAGTCATGTTTTTACAGTTACAAATCAAAGAGTACAACTCATCTCTTATCCTTCAGTTGGTATGGCTTTAAAGGGACTTATAAATTATGGAAACAGTGTTCAGAATTGTGTTTTGTGCCCAGTTGTGTTACGATGTTTGAATCATTGCTCAGTTTATGGATATCCTCAGCAATGTTGTGGTTCACTAATGTCTGTAGAGTACTTGTATGTGGATGGACTACAGTGGCCATTCTCCTGAACCAAATTTCAGCAAGTTGAGGCCGTCCTAATCCAATTACCAATTGAGCTAAGGCATGTGTGCAGTACCTTTTCTTCACCGAATTACTTTTACTTGAAGCCATAGTGTTGTCACAAAGCAAGTGAGCCCATGCCGCGGAGATAGGGACCACTGTCTAGTGTATAAGAAACTATGTGGTAGAAAACCACAGTTGTGATTGGAGAATATTAGTACAACCGTCATTAAGAATTCACTGGGATCTGGTGGAACATTTGTTAAAAAATTTATCTTTCTGTAATATCTGTCATACCCTTCTTTAAAGGGCAACATTACATTTCAGTCCAGAGTAACAGCACAGAAGAACTTAAGAGATATTTTTTTTAATTAATGTTTTTAAAAGGAGTAATGTAGAAAATAGAATTTTCCTATAACCTGTCATGTGTAAAGTTACTGTTTTGCACCAAGCAATTTTACATTGCTTAGATATTTGTCTTATAGACATTATGGAGAATCCACACCCATACTTAATTCGTCACCATGCACAGAGTTGTCATTGGATGGGAGAGTTGAATTTCTGTGGTAGCATTGGGGTATAGTTTCACATGCTCTGGTACATCTTTATTAATACTTCCTTCAGAATGAAAACAAAGTATATGCCATTTCATGCACTCTACATGAAGTCTGGTTAGAAAACAGTTTAACACAGATCTCTTTATTTCATAAATAATATTTCACTTTTTTAAATTAAGCTAAATATTAGGATTCATATCCAAAGAAATATTTGTCTTTGGTTTTGTTGGTTCATCCAGTTTAAAATAGAATAATTCCAGTGTAACTACAGTCACTGAAAGCAATTATCAAGGTGTACAAATAACACTGTTTTATACTACATTATCTTAGTACACTTCATAATGCACATAATTGATCATGTACAAATGTAGGGAGAGATGCTACCGACCATAAATGTTAATATAAATACAATTTTGAAAATTGTATGCTTAAACCTTACAAAATCTATGTGTAGGAGTTATTGGACCAAACACTGCATGGCAAATATACAAATCCAAACAGTATGAAATATGTGGGGTCTGTGATTTCGTTTGAGACAAAGATGTCGCAGAAAGTGGACAGGTTAGTGTAGAAATGTATATATTCTGTTTCTTTGAGTGAGGGATGCCTCTGTTAGTTTTCACTCTGAGGCTGTCATGTTGGAACTCAGGATATCATGTGCCCAATGATTTGGATAAAACATCTTTTAGATTGCACACCTGTGTAGTAGAGGATCTCATTGCCTTTGCCTAGTTTTTTCTGAATGAAGCGAATGTAAAGAAGTTTATTTGGTAGATGGCAATGCCTTGTTTGTATTTTTTTAAATTTTCCAAAGTATTGCAACTTCATCAGTGGAAAAATACAACTTTTGTATTGTATAATACAGGATAAAGAATGTACAGCAAGTGTTTTACAAAAATTTCATTTTGTTATATAAAGGATTGTTTCCTTTTGTATTTGGAATGGAAAGACAGTGTCTGATTTGTGTTAACAAGTCCTTTTCCTGATTACAGTAAACGGTTTTAGTATGAGGTAGACTAATCATTGTTAACTATGATTTGCAAGTATTGAAAATTATAAACCATGTGTATATTTTTACTGGCACTGTAGTGTTAACAGTGGTGATTATTGGTTGCCTACAGTGAGTAATGAACAGTCAACACAAGTGAAGTGGTCTTTCTGAAAGCTATCAGTATAGTAATGTCAGGACTGAGATGATTTCATAGTTTTTGTAGTAACATCATAAAGAAATAAACAGAAAAATAAAAATTCTTTGACCTGTAAATGGCAACAGGGCATTTCTAATCATAGTTTACATTTGCTAGATTATTTTGGAGTCACAAGGTCCTTTTCTGAAGTTGAAATTAATCTTCTTCTTTTTTATTCTTTAATTACAACAAAAGTGGTAATAGAAAAACTTTTTAATCGTAACTTTTCCTTGCATGCTTATTTTTATCCTTTGAGCTTTAGAAAATGTACTGTCATGGCAAAGCACAAATCATTTGTTTCATATTTTTGCCACTAAAGGAATGTGGAAATTCGTATAAGGAAGTTCGTATTAAATTAATCATAAATGAAACACTGCGTAACAGTGAATCTGAAAAGAGTTTTCAAACTAAAATACCCTGTCTTGATTTATCTTATGATGTAGTTGTGCTTCTAAGAGAAATTCATTTTTGTACTCTTAAGACTTCATTTTAGCTGAGTTCCTTTGTACTTTTCTTCCAAGTCCAGGGTTAATTCTCACCTCCAATGTTCATTTGGGTTTGGGGTTAGGTATTTTTGCTGATTGTAAAGTTTTGTAAGTGCTGCCAATACTAAATTTCATGGATTATTTTAGTCAGGGTAGATGTTTTATATAGACAGGACAACAATTTGGTGCTTTTGTTCAGACCTGAAGCCTAGAATTGAACAACCACATGGACATGAAATTCGTAAACAGCTAAAAAATTTACTGATTTCATCTGTAACTGAAGACTGATATATTACCAAAATTGGAAGCAAACTTGTAGGAAGGTATGGGTTATTAATATGGTATATCTGGCATTTATAAGATTATTGCAGTCAAATTTTGGGATAGTATTTTTCACCAGAGTACAACTCTTTCATACAGTAACTAATGAACAAACTAACTAGATGGCTTAGGGAACCCGAAGGTTCATCACCGAACTAACCAAAGTCCTCTACCAGTCCCTGTCCTGGGCCAGCAAAATCCTAGTGCCCTTCCATACAGGTCCCCTTCAAAATCATGATAGTCTGAACACATCATACATCACATCACTGTTGGAAAGAACATTTTATAAATCAAATTGATTAATAAAATATATTTATTCTTCTGCCAAGATGTCACTATATTTTGGTTAACTTGACTATTCCACATTTTCTGCTAACTCTATTTATGCTGGCTAGGGATGAATTATTAAGGGTTTGGGAGGAAGGTTCTGAGGCCCATTTTATACACCTTGTATGTGTCAGCACTTGGTTGCAGGGACTATGGAAAACCCATGATAAAAATTTGTTAACTGCTTCATTATGCTTTTGTTGTGTCAGTGAACTTCATTCTTTAAGAAATCCCTGGATCCTGGTGTTTTTTACATAGGCTATTCACTTCTGTAAAGACCTCACCTTAGAGAGTACCTTAAATTGGGCCGTGTCATCATTTATCATTAATCACTTGACAGTATATATAATCTGTGGTACTGAGAGCATTGTCAAAAAAGAATGCACACAATAATAATTTAGCACAGGTAACTGTTTAATCAGAACTCCTGTGTAGTGAATGACCCCTACCACAAAATATAACCCCTCCTTATGCACTGTTTGCATGATGTGCACAAAATTAATTAAAACAGGGCTGACCATGTCTGTCTGCATGATTCAGCTCAAGAACTGCTGGCTATATTTGGATTAAATTTGTTGTGGAATTTATACCAATATTTCTTAATTTCCTACTCTCTGTAATACCAACATGGCAGATGAACAAACTCAAAGTCCTCTATACTGATCTCTCAACAGCAAGTTTCTGATAAAGAATCAGTAGAGAAGAAAGG